GCCGCCGAGCGCCCGGAGCATTCCCTCGAGGAGGGGGGCCGAGGAGGCCAGGGCGCGGGCGACAGCGGCGTTCGAGGATCGAGGCTGGAGGACGTACATGCATTCGTGGATCAATAGCTGTATGTATGTATGTACGTACGTACGTATGTATGTACATACGTGTGTGAGTATGTCTGTATGTAGGTATATAAGTATGTGTGTATGTAGGTATGCACGTACGCTTATATACATGTATATATGAATGAACGAATGTGTTCAGGTATGTATGCATGCATGCATAACTATATGTATGAGTGTATGCATGTGTGTATGTATGTATGCGTGCGTGTGTATGTACATATTTATGTGTGTATATGTGTGTATGTGTGCATGTGTGTAGGTATATGTGTACGCATGCATGTGTGTATGTATGTATGTATGTATGTATGTATTTATGTATGTATGTATGTATGTATGTATGTATGTATGTGTGTGTGTATGTATGTATGTATGTATGTATGTATGTATGTATGTATGTATGTATGTATGTATGTGTATGTATGTATGTATGTATGTATGTATGTATGTATGTACGTACGTACGTGCGTGCGTGCGTGCGTATGTATGTATGTATGTATGTATGTATGTATGTATGTATGTATGTATGTATGTATGTATGTATGTATGTATGTTTGTGTGGATGTTTGTGTGGATTCATGCATGTATGCTTGTTTGTGCGCATGTATGTATGCGTGTCGGTATGCGTGTATATGTTTAGATGTGTGTATGTGTATGTGTGTATGAAAACCTGGGGGGGTCACTACCGGTTCGACCCCCCCCCTCGAAAACCGAGGGGGAGTGCGGACAGTGGTGGGGACGGCGGTGGTGGGGACAGTGGCGAGGGGACATCGGGACAGTGGTGGGGACAGTGGGACATTGGTGGGGACGGTAGTGGTGGGGACAATGGTGAGGACAATGGTGGGAACAGTGGGGACAGTGGGACAGTGATGGGGACGGTGGTGGTGGGGACAGTGGTGTGGGGACAGTGGGACTGTGGTGGAAACAGTAGGACAGTGGAGGGTACAGTGGTGGTGGGGACAGTGGTGAAGGCGGTGGCGACGACGGCGGTGGGACAATGGGACAGAGGTACAGTGGGGACAGTGGTGGGGACAGTGGGGACAGTGGTGGGAACAGTGGGACAGCTCAGTGGGACAGCGGAGGAGTCAGTGGGACAGTGGGGACAGTGGGGATAGTCGTGGAGAAAGTTGGGAGAGTGGAACCGTGGTGGGAACAGTGGTGGGGACAGTGCGACAGTGGTGGTGGCACTGGTGGGGACAGTAGGGGCGGTGGTGGAACCAGTGGGGACAGTGGTGGTGAGGACAGTGGTGCTGGGAACAACAGTGGGGGATGTGGTGAGGACGGTGGTAGGGACCGGGAGTCGTTTGCTGGAGGTGAGAGGGGGGTGGGGAGGGGTTCGAACCGGTAGTGACCCCTCCCTCCGGTTTTCGAGGGGGGGGGGTTCGAACCGGTAGTGACCCCCCCGGTTTTCGAGTTCGAGGGGGGGAGGGGGGGTTAGGGGAGGGGGGGGGTTTTGCCGGGGGAGGGGGGGGGGGAGGGGCCAGCAGGATGGGGGGGATTTTCGGGGGGGGGGGGGATTCCCGGCTTCCAGAGGAAACAGGCGGCAATTTTCCACAGTAAAGCGGCGGTGGATCACGCTCTCTCATATATGTATGGATGCATGTGTGTATGTCTGCATGTATGTATATATACATAAATAAGTATATCTATGATCTTTTACACATAGATGTCTACATACAAGTACACACATATGTATGCATGCATATGAATATGTATGTATGCATGTATGTATGTATGTATGTATGTATGTATGCATGTATACGTATGTCGCCGCGCCGTTTGTTCCGACGCGTGGCCTTAGGTCGTGGGGAGGATGCCGCGGCCACCGGGGCAAGCTCAGCCTTAGTCGCAAGGTCTGCCACGGGTTTTGCCGCGGCACGGGCTTCGTCTACTTGGGTGCGTTTGGAACAACCAGCGCGGCGACATATACACATGCGTTTGCAAACACTGCATAGATCCATGTGTATATCTATATGCATACATTTGTATCTATACAACACAGATGTACACAACACAGATGTACACAAGTGGCACATGGGTGCCCAGGCCCGTACCGAAAATGGTTGGTCTCTGGGCAAAACAGGAAGACCTGGCTGGAGGGAACGCAAGGTTTCTTCAGTTCGTATTCCACCAGGAGAGGGTTGTTTTCATCGTCAGGCCCCACAGCACATAAACATAAAGTCACAGCTCCCATTCGTCCACAGGCTCAGTGTCACGTCCCAGAACCCGCTTCGCTGGACACTTCTTCCGTAACTTCTGCAGCGCAAGCCGCTGCTGCATGTACGAGGAGGAGGAGGAGAAAGGAGGAATCCACACTCTACGGCCCCCTCTCCCCCTCTCCCGAGTCTTCGCCCTTTCGAACAAGCATTCGCCACCATGCCGGCGTAGAAGACCTGAGGACAGCTTGGCTCAGGTCTTGGAGAACCTCTTGAACGAAGCGGCTCTGGGACGAATTTTGAGCGCCCTTCACGAATCAATGTTTGCAGGATGCTTCAAGGATGGTCTGGGATAACCTGAACAACTTGAGTGTATCATATATCCTTCGAGCATCGAAGGTGCTGGCATCTCTTCCTCGGCGGGAGATGACGGAAGGACGGCGCAAGTGAAATGAGGCCAGTTCCGCCGGCGGAAGGCCGTTGGAAGCCGGCGGCCCAAGAGATACGTCTCTTGGGGACCCAGGGTTCTGGACATTGCGCACATATTGTTTTATTGTTTTAGGGCCAGCTAACTATTCAGGGGTACTCTTTTACGAGATTGAAAAGTTGGAACTAATTTTGCATGTTGGGCTTTGGGTTTCGTTTTTGGTCCTTCCTGGGCCTCGGGCGGGCCTCCTGGGGAACTCCCGAAGACCCCGCAGGGCCCCCAGGGAAAGAGAGGGAGGGGGGCAGAGAGACGGAGAGGGTGGCGCAGGTACATGCAGACATGATCAAAAGGACGAGTACAGTCGTCGTGCTACCATAAGGAATCCTGAATTGGGAATGAAGGAGGGGGAGGAGAAGGAGGAGGAGGTGGAGGAGGAGGAGGAGGAGAAGGAACGAAGGTGCTTTTCTGGCCACGGCGAGCCTCGGCCACGAAGGGGTCCTCCGACCTAGAGATCTAAGGAGCGGCTCGAACACCAGAGCCCCTCCTGAGCCCAAGGTGGTCCTTATTTCACCGTAGACCTCCTCCTCCTCCTTCTCGTCCTCCTCCTCCTTCTCCTCCTGACATCCGACGATGTGATTTTTGTCCATGCGCGGCCCCAGAGGTCCCGACTCTTTGCCTGGGGGTAGTTTTTTGTCGCGCAGCCATTTTGATGGCCCTGGTACCTGACAACTGCTCCCAGGGGCCAGAAATCCAGAAAGCAACACCGGTTCAACAAATCATATCGTCGGAGAATTCGGCTTTCATCTCCCAATTCCTGATGGAGCCTCGGGTGTCCCCTCCTCCTCCTCCTCCTCCTCATCCTCCTCCTCTTCCTCCTCCTCCTCCTCCTCCTCCTCCTCCTCCCTCCGAGTTCCACTCCTCTCGCATGCCCGGCCCAAGGCAGGGACTACCGCATCACATCCAGGGACTATGCAATGGCGGCCTGGCAGTTTGGTCAGTGATTCCCCTAATCCATCCTCCCTCCTCCTTCCCCCCTCTCGCCTCCCCCTTCCTCCTCTCTACTTCCTTCTGTTCTGCTCCTTCCCTGTCTTCCCCTCCTCCCCCTCGCCCGCAATCCAGTGTTACGCAAAGTACTACAAACGCAAACGCCACGCAATGCAATGCAACGCAATGTAATGCAATGCGCTCCCATGCAATGCTACGCAATACAATGCAACAGGATGCAGTGCAATCCAATACATCGCAGCACAATGCACTAATCTGCAACGCAATGAAACGCAATGCAATGCAACACAGCGCAATGCAATACGCAATGCCTCCTCCCTTCTTCTCCCACCTCCCCCTCTTCCAGTGCGGGAGAAATATTTGACCCCCTCCCGCCCAACGTCTCCCCCTCTTCCCAGGGCCAGAACATATTTTTGGACCCCCCCCAATGCCCAGAGCGGCCGGCCAATTTTTGCACACCACATCACACGGATCGTGTTTCCAGGAGTAAAACAATGTTGAACCTTCAGACGCATTGTGTTCAAACCGTGTTTACTAATTTTCTTGCAACCTCCACGAATAAAACATGTTTTTGATCCACCACCCTCGTCGTCGTCGTGCGTCGTCGTCGTCGTCGTCGTCGTCGTCGTCCCCTTCCTCGTCGTCTTCGCCGTCTCCGTCGTTTTCATCATCGTCGTCGTGGTGGTCGTCGTCGTCATCGTCATCGTCGTCGTCTCGTTGTCGCTATCGTCGTCGTCGTCGTCGTCGTCGTCGTCGTCGTCGTCGTCGTCTGGCGCCTGGGCCCCCTTCACGCAGGGTTCGACCACGTTAGCGTTACCCCCCACGCCCCCCCCCAGTAACGGACGTTACGGGGGGAATAAGAAGCCAGTCTCACAAGGGCTTTGGGGCACCTGGTCTGGCGCACAATCGGCCGCGCCTGTGAGGCGTCGGCCTTTGCCCTCTGTCGGGAGAGCGCCTGTGTCTCCGCAGCGATTCTGCCTCAAAACTTGGGCCGTCGCACCACGCGCACCTGTCGGCCAGCCGCGCACCAAAGGCCACCCCTGCCCACAGGGGTCACTCCTGCGTGTGACCGAGGTCTGCCGCCCGGGGCGACTGGCGGTGACAGCGGGCCCAAGATCCGAGGCAGGATTTATACACGACCACCGCCTGGAGGATCCGGCGGTGGATGTGGACATATTCGGGCCCCCGGGGGCCAAAATATATCCACATCCACCGCCCGCAGGGGCACCAGGACGCCGGTTCCCAGGCGGTGGATACGGATAGATCCCCGCCTCGCACAAGACAGGCAGGAGCGGATGACCACGGGCCCGCTGCGGGCGGGAGCCGTGGACAGCGGCAGCACTGCTGGCAGCGCGGACCTGCTCGCGGCCCTGGAGGCGCTGGCGGACTGTGCCGGCCGGCTGGCGACCGAGCCGCTGAAGGGCACCATCGGGAACGCGGCGGCCGTGCTCGTGGCGCAGGTGGAGGCGTCCTGCAGGGACTCCGTCAAGTTCCTGCTGGCCGGGCTCTGCGTGCCTGGCGAGGGGGCCGACGCGCAGAACGACCGGGTCTGGGTCCTGCACCAGATGTGCAGGCACAGCGAGTCCGCCAAGAGGTGGTTCTCGGGCGGGGCTGGGACAAGGAGAACATGGGTTCCAGAGCGTTGCCGAGCGCTCTCGGAGCGCTCCGGATCGCTCTGAGAAGGGCGCCCGCCACGTCCTCCGGGGCCGCCGGGCCTCAGAGATTTCAGATGTACCCTCGTCCGGAGTCATCCTCATCCTGGCCTCGTCTTAGGTTCAACGAGCTCGGCGGGTCGGCGGCCCTCGGGACGGTGCTGGGAGCGCACGGGGACTCCTACGAGCTCGTGCAGACGGGCGTCTGGCTGGCGCACGAGATCCACGGCCCGGCCGGCATCATCGGCCTGTTCGGCCACGACTCCACGGCGGTGCGGGCAGCAGCGCTGTGGGCGCTGCACGCTCTGCTGGGCAGGCAGAAGGGCCTGAGCGAGGATCGAAGAAGAAGACATACATGAGCAGAAACCGTCGGAGCTCCGCGCGCATTTCTTGGATCCCAGGGCGGCGCCTCCTGCGCCGCCCCCTGGCGCGCTCTGCGCGCCAGTCGGAGGCTGGTCCCCAGCGGGTCCAAATATATCCGTGTCCATGGGGTTCCAGGACGTCGGTTCCCCACGTGGAGGATACGGATAAGTCCCCGCCTCGCAGCCAGGGAGGGGGATCCAGCGCCGATCCAAGATCCGCGCAGCATTTTGAAAGTCTACGGTCAGGAACTTTCCAATAGCTTGCAGCGTGTAGCGCCGCCGGTTCTGGCCCACCACGCTTCGGCGCGACACGCTGTCCAGTCCCCAGTCCCCAAGCTTCCACGTCCCGAGCCTTTCCGAACCTCCCGCCCGGCGGAGCGGAGCGACACGCTATCCGCTTGCAAAGCATAGCGTGCCGCAACCGTTGGGTTGGCCCCAGTAGTCCTCACCACCCTTTTCGACGATTGGTGGTTTTCGGGTCATAGTTCGGATCTCCGGCGGCCGCTCGGGGCGATTCAGGCACCGCCGGAACGCTCTCGGCGAGGCGCAGATGTTTGAAGGCATCCGGAAGCTGGGGAACCGCCCAGAACCGACGAAAACGCCCTCAAAGCTCAAGCCTCGAACCACCACAGGGCTGGCAAAAGCTCTTGACCGTGCGTCTGTGCTGATTTTTGTTTTCCTCCGAGAGGAACTCAGCGACAGCGGCTTGGTGGCCTGCGTGCTGGAGGCCCTGAGGGCCGCACAGCGGGTTCCGCCGGAGCAGCACACCTGCGAGCTGCAGCTGGCGTGCTGCTCCGTGCTGCAGTACCTGCTGGAGGAGCGGCCGATCCGCAGCAGCGTGTTCCTGGCCCACGGCGGCGGCGAGGCCAGAGCCGGGCATTAAGAGGACGCCCACCAAGACAAGTCGGCCGAGGAAATTTGCACAGGGTCTCTCGACATTGACATTCTTTTGTGGTGGTGCAGTTCCCAGTCGATTTCGCTCATCGACGTGCGTTTCGCCTGATCAATTCGATTTTTTCTGGACGTCGATTAGCTACCCCGCTGGGGTCCAATCGGAAGTCGATGCAGTGCGCACGTGGAGTGCCCCTGGCAGTTTTCACTGAGGGCGTTTGGCTAACGGGTGTGCTTTCAATCTTCGTGAAAGGAGCACAGGAGCTGCACGAACATAAACCTGTGGGGATGCGCGCTTGGATCTGCGCTCGGCCCCCCTGCCCGGCGTGCGGAGCGCGCCGCTGACGGCGCTGGAGGCACCGCCGTGGAGGCCGCAGCGCCGATTCAAGAAATCCGCGAGGACCTCGGAACGTTTATGTTCATGCATTTTCTCCCACATCCTGAGTGGAGTTCTTGTTTTCTCTCCACGCTCCCTCGCAGGACAAAAACACCCGACCCCCTCTGTCCTCCTCTCCTCCTTTCGCACTCACCACCACCATCACCATCCTCATCAACATCATCACCACAGCCATATTCTCGACACAGTAACCGTCACCATCACATCACCATCATCATCATCATCATCATCATCATCATCATCATCATCATCATCATCATCATCATCATCATCATCATCATCATGTGGCAGACGGAGACAGACTAGGTGTTTTACCCTTGAGCCACATTGGTCACGGACAGAAGCTCCTGAAGCTGAACCTATCGGTGAAAATCTGCCTCACTGCAACACTGGTCAAACTTTCTTCTAGGTTCAGCTCTCCCCATGTCAGGAGAAGCTATGACCACCCATTCGCGGAAAAGCGCAGTACACGGTCGCGGCTCCCTATGGAAGCCTCCGTCCCCCAGGACGGCCGTAGTCAGGAAAACAAGGCAAGGATGGGAGCAACAACGGGAAGCTATTGAAATGATGGAAGAGGAAGGCCGGGAGGACCGTCCGGCCGAGAGGGAGAGAGGAGGGGAGAGGTAGGACCACCACCACCACCACCCACCTGGGAGAGCTCCTGGTCCCGGAACTCCTGCCACGACAACATGCTCTGACTCTGGGCCAACTGTCTTCGAGACGCTAGCTGGGAGCGGTCCTTGAGCTCTGGCGCAGCTCGGCGGCGATCAAGTTCAGAGCTCTCGTCCACTAGGATAAGACGGCCTCGGACCATGAGGTCAAACAGAGCGGCATTACTCTTGGTGATGTCGTCCTTCGTCAGTGGGTCGACTGGCATCCTGCCGTGGGGAACCCATCGCACGCTTCCTCGCGCTCGTTCTAGTGCCTCGCAGATTATTGCGAGGTCCAGTGCAGTGCGCCTGTCCTTGGCGCTGGCGTTCCCCTCCTTCAACATAGTGTCGTAAATAGACTTTGCATCCACGACATGTACCTGGTTCTCTCGGGAACCCAACTTACAGTCTCTACGAAGCACAGTAGTGAAGGGGCCGGAAGCACGTCTGCACTCGGGGACGTCCACGTCCTGGAACATCACGTCCCGGTAGAGCACTTGAAGGTACTCCACCTCCGCCACTGCGGCGGACAATGCCTGGGTTTCCCCGGCCAGGGTGGACGGTACCTTGCGCCTCAGCTTACTACTTCTCCAGCCTAGGAACGAGGCCTTGACTGAGTTATTCAGCAGCACAGACTTGTCAGTCGCCAGCACCATCCATGCCCCCTGGGTTGGGTCGGCCGGGAGCCCCCGATCGTCATTCATCTTGATGTCTGCTCCTACTCCCCCGGCATCAGAAAACGACACGAACGCCATGCGGTCGGGGTCCAGGCTCCAAATTGTCAGCCCTCTAGAGGCCGTCGTTCGGAGATGCTTGACTAACTTGTTGGCACAGGACACGTCGTAGATCGTCGCACTCTTCAGACGACTGGCCAAGATCGAGGCTATGACCGCGGCCTCGGGCCTGGACTCCCTGCCGACCCAGTTAAATTTATATACCAGGGATCTGAGTGCTCGAAATTCATCAGGCTCGAGTGGGGAGTCACTGCGAGACATTCTTCCCTTGGCTAGGCTCAAAGGCCTAACCTCTTCAAGGATGTATTTTTCTTGATCGACTGTGATCTTTTGTTCCCCGAGCGTGATCCGTCGTCCGGCAAAGTCCACGGGACTCTCATGGCAGTCCCGGTACTTGCCGAACTTGAACCTAGCTTCAGCAACTGCCGGATCCAGGCTCTCGAGTTCGAGTCGCAGCTGCCGATCATGAAGTCGTCTACCTCTAGCAGCATCATGTTGAGGATTTGGCCCTGGGACCCGTATCGCATCCACCAACACGGTTCCAACAGGCTTCGGACGAAGCCGTTCTGCTCCAGATAACTTACCACCGTGCGCCTCCACGCCACTGGGGCGTCGTCCAACCCATATACATTCACCAGAAGCTCGATGAGGGCCCCCGGCTCTAGGTCTATGCCCTCGCAGGGCTCGACAAAGATCTGTCCCGCAGCGCGCTGCATAGGGTTGGACTGACAGAAGGCGTTCTTAACGTCGGCTATGTCCAGGAGCTGGCGTAGGTTGGCCGAAACCTGCAGAAACATCATGATCGAGGAGGTCTGGGGAGTCGGTGCGTACACCGCCAGCGAGCCCGAGTCCGGGTCGCGATGGCCGTGCACGCACCATCTAGATTTTGCCTCCGGCTCGGCAAACGTTCCTTCCACCGGCTTCCACCTACGGACCATCCGGCTGGATATGATCCTGTCCGGGAGCTCGCGACGGATGACTCTCGCCTTAGCCGGGGGAACGACTCGAACGGCCCCGGTCCCCATCATGGCAGCCCATTTTTTCTGGTCCGAAGCACTAAACTTGGCCCTCTCGGCCGGAGAGAGCTTTTTGAGAGAAACCTCGGCCCCTCGACCCGTGGCGAAAGTGCCGCCGTCTCCACAGACTCCGGTCCAGCTCGACTGCATGGGGAAAGCCCGAACGCCCCCCTGCTCGGCCGCCAGCCCAAAATCCTCGGTGACCCCCTCGAACCCGGTGCCACTTGGGGACCTAGATCGACCACGCTCCTCAATCGCTCTCACGCGGTCCTGGACGGAAGCCGAGGGCTCACTGCCCGAGACCATCGGGGGACGCTCCTGGGAATGTCCTGGCCCAGGACCAAGACCACCACCACCACCAACCCCCGGAGAGGGAGGGATAAGAGAGGTCCCCCCTGGGCTCGGTGCCTCAGGCGGGGCTGGCGCCGGAGAGTCGGAGCCTCCCTCCGTCTTGGCCCTCTTCATCTCGGGCGGACAGCTCTCTGCCCGAGCCCGCGCAATGCACAGGGGCACGTCGGACGGCTGCCTCAGCCTCGTTCGACTCTGTCTCCCCTCGGCCGGAGCGGGAGCAGGAGGTAAGGAGACAGGAGCGGGAGGAGGTGGGATAGTAGGATCACTGTCTCCGCCCGACGCTTCTCCCGGTGGCCCGGGGGCGTCCGTCGGACCCCTGGGCTCTCCTGGTTCCTCGCCCTCTCCCTCATCCCGGCTAGGAGAGGGAGGAGCAGTGGGAGGGGTGACCGATCTGGCCATCTCGGACGGCTCTCGTGTCTCTGGAATCGACGGCAGTCTCGACCCTGGTTGGGCCACCACGGATCCGGCTCGAGATCCCGCCCTCGAGGGAGGGGGCCTCGGGAGGCCCATGGGCCCGACCCGAGAAGGATTGGGTCGAGAGCTCCTTTCCTCAGGTCCAGTCTCCTCCTGGGGAACCGCCGCGGGTCCCGGAAGCCTCGGCCCCGTATCGGGGTCCACGATCGCGGGCTCGTCGAGCGAGTCGTCGGGAGGGAGACCCTCTCGCTGCACATCGACGGCTGAGACTCGCTTGGTGCGCGAGGCGAGAAGGAGCTCCTGCCACTGGGGGTCTTGGGCTAACTGAAGTCCGTACTCCTCCTCGGGACTAGCCAGTCGAAGTTGCTCCTGGCTGCATTTCCACAGGCGGGCCCTGACGGCCACCCACACGGTCCCTCCCTCGCTGAGAACGACCACCCCTGGGCCGCACCACCCGTCCCTCCGGCGGCCGAGAGCGTCCGCTCTAGAGGAGGTGCGGGAGAAGTGTCGCCACACGAACACCCACTGCCCAGGGGTATATCTCTGGCGACGGGCGGCTTCGCCCTCGAGGCGCGGCTAATCTTCTCGCGAGACGTCGTCTCCATCGCTAACCGTCGAGCCTCGGCCCGGATCTGCTGCGCTCTCGCAAACTCGGCTCCGGCCTCGTCCTGCTCAGCCGAGGGACGAATGAGATCTTGCCAGCCGGGGAGCCCCCGGTGGTCGTCGGAGAGGATGTCGTGTGGGAGGCGGGGGTTCTCTCCGAAGACGAGCTGGAGGGGCGAGAACCCTCCACGGTGCCAAAAGCGATTCTTGTGAGCGACCAGTTCAGTGATGAGGTCATCGAGCTCTTCGATCGTCTCCGGCACGAAAGAACCCGCCTCCAGCTCTGAGCGCACTCGCTCCTTGACCCAACCCCCATGGCGTTCAACCCTCCCATTTTGCCAGGGGGAGTCTGCGTCGCAGACGTGGTGACACACCCCCCACTGCTCGAGACCACGGGCGAAACGCGCTCCAAACTCCGAACCCCCATCCGAGATCAGAAACTGGGGGGCCCCCAAAGGTCTGATCCACGCTCGAAGGAACTCCGACCACACCTCTGAGGCGGTGGCCGACTTGACTCGGACCATCACCTGAAGATTAGATCCATGGTCCACGATGTTAAGATATGGCCTCGTCACCCCTTGGAACTCCAAGTATATGAGGTCCACTCCCACGATGTGGTTGAACCTAAACGTGCGAGGGAGCGCCACTCTTCGATGGAGGCCCGATCGGGCCCTTTCGGCACACTCGGAACAGTGGAACTTGGTGCGGGCCCAGCGCACAAGTCGGCGCTTCGCCCCTCCAGCCCTGAGCACCCTCGCAAACTTTCTGACCTCTGGGTGCCCCATATTAACATGGAGCTTGTATATCAG